TATTGGAGGATAGTAAAGCACAGCTCCCAGCTCATGGTAGAATTTCAATACTTCAGGAACATCATCTGCTGGTATATGACATGCTACTCCAATGGCAATGGCATCAGATACACTAATGATATTCTGCTTAAGCTCTTGATAAACTTCGCGAAAAAGAACCCACATTGACAGGTGTTGGTACAACCAATGATTTGATAAAACTATCAATAGCTTTACGTAATTCTGTAATGCTTGGATCTTCTTCTCCTCCTTTGCCTGAGGTCGTATTATCAATGATGAGCACATCTTTAATGAGATCAGAGAACTCTTTCTCCTCATACAAAGACTGTATTTGTTGCTTTACTTCTTTCTTGCTTTCTGAATTTAGCAGGTCCCCACGAGTGCCAATACAATAGAGACTAGGAGAAGAAGTATCATCTTTGTTGTGCTTCACAAGGTGACTGTGTATTGTAGACATCCATTTGGCCATTAGATCACTCGTGCTTTCATTCAATATCTCACCAAACAGCACTTTACCATCAGGAGTATTCTGACGTGACTGCCATCTTTCCTTGAAATCCTTTGAAGCATCAAACAGGAGGAGAAACATTGTACGAGGAGTGAGGAAGGCTGGGAGAATCTCAAGGAACACTGGCTGACCACCACAATCCCATATATGAAGAAATGGCTACAAAAATGATAAAACTTTTAATGCCATTAAAGTATGACCATGACTAACCTGAACAAGTGATTTTGTTACAAGATATGGTTTACTAGGTAAAGCTCTTCTTAGTATCGATTGGATAAAACTACTCTCTATACCCAAAATGGAAGTTATGGGACTAGTAGAAGCTGATTCATCCAACAAATATTGGGCACTCAATAAAGGTGAATGGTGTGAGAATGGTCTATAACGACTGAATTCAAACAAACGTGCAAGTTCCTCAATTTCATCTTTTTCTGTGGTTTCTCTCCATTTGTTTTCTCTCCTTGTTTGCCACTTGTGTCCAAATGGTCGTACGGATGATACATCAGATACAATGGTGCTTGTAGTATGAGGATTGAAAGGTTCTTCCATTAATGAACGCTTGAGAGATGTCTTGCCAGTACCAGCTGATCCCAGTAACATAAGACGAGCATACGCTACATCAGCACTTCCTTGCTCTTTGAGAGCTTTCTCATAAGCACCTATAGGTATCAATGGGTACTCACAATACACATGTAAAGTGAATCCTTTACAGAGTTTACATGACTATATTAAGCTATTTTTTACTCACTTATATCCTATAAATGTGAAGCAAAAATCCATTACATTAAAAATTTTTTTTCCAAACTTACCTTTGGCTGAATAACAACATTTAACATAGTAGACAAGATAAAATTATACATGTACATGAGATGTGACTTACTCTCTGAGCCTGAAAGATTGTGAATAACACAGTTTAGCAATGGTGACATAGAAAAAATGAATAAAATTACATATTCACATGCAATGTGACTTACTGGCTGAAAGATTGTGAATAACACAGTTTAGTAAAGTATCACAATGGTATCATAGAAGAAAAGAATAAAATTACATATTCACATGTGACGTGACTTACTGGCTAAAAAATTGTGAATAACACAGTTTAGTAAAAGTATCACAGTCGTATCATAGAAGAAAAAAAATTACACATTCACATGTGACGTGACTTACAATCTGAAAGATTGTGAATAACACAGTTAGTAAAGTATCAGAATGGTATCATAGAAGAAAAGAATAAAATTACACATTTACTTGTGACGTGATTGATTTACTTTCTAAATCATTGTGAATAACACAGTTTAGTAAAGTATCACAATGGTGTCACAGAAGAAAAGAATAAAATTATACATTCACATGTGACATGACTTACTGGCTGAAAAATTGTGAATAACACAGTTCAGTAAAGTATCACAGTGGTATCATAGAAGAAAAAAATTACACATTCACATGTGATGTGACTTACAATCTGAAAGATTGTGAATAACACAGTTTAGTAAAGTATCACAGTGGTATCATAGAAGAAAAGAATAAAAGTACAAATTCACATGTGACGTGACTCACTGGCTGAAAGATTGTGAATAACACAGTTCAGTAAAGTATCACAGTGGTATCACAGAAGAAAAAAAATTACACATTCACATGTGACGTGACTTACAATCTGAAAGATTGTGAATAATACAGTTTAGTAAAGTATCACAATGGTATCATAGAAGAAAAGAATAAAATTACATATTCACATGTGACGTGACTTACTGGCTAAAAAATTGTGAATAATAACACAGTTTAGTAAAAGTATCACAGTGGTATCATAGAAGAAAAAAATTACACATTCACATGTGACGTGACTTACAATCTGAAAGATTGTGAATAACACAGTTAGTAAAGTATCAGAATGGTATCATAGAAGAAAAGAATAAAATTACACATTTACTTGTGACGTGATTGACTTACTTTCTAAATAATTGTGAATAACACAGTGTAGTAAAGTATCACAATAGTATCATAAAGGAAAAGAATAAAATTACACAATAACTTGTGACGTGATTGACTTACTCTCTAAATAATTGTGAATAACACAGTTAAGTCAAGTATCACAATGGCATCATAGAAGAAAAGCATAAAATTACACATTCACATGTGATGTGATTGACTTACTCTCTGAAGATTATGAATAACACAGTTTAGTAAAGTATCACAATGGTGTCACAGAAGAAAAGAATAAAATTATACATTCACATGTGACGTGACTTACTGGCTGAAAAATTGTGAATAACACAGTTCAGTAAAAGTATCACAGTGGTGTCATAGAAGAAAAGAATAAAAGTACACATTCACATGTGACGTGACTTACTGGCTAAAAAATTGTGAATAACACAGTTCAGTAAAAGTATCACAGTGGTATCATAGAAAAAAAGAATAAAAGTACAAATTCACATGTGATGTGACTCACTGGCTGAAAGATTGTGAATAACACAGTTTAGTAAAATTATCACAATGGTATCATAGTAGAAAAGAATGAAAGTACACATTCACATTTGACGTGACTTACTGGCTGAAAGATTGTGAATAACACAGTTTAGTAAAGTATGACAATGGTATCATAGAAGAAAAAAATAAAATTACACATTCACATTTGACGTGACTTACTGGCTAAAAGATTGTGAATAACACAGATTAGTAAAGTATCACAATGGTATCATAGAAGAAAAGAATAAAATTACACATTCACATGTGATGTGACTTACTGGCTGAAAGATTGTGAATAACACAGATTAATAAAGTATCACAATGGTATCATAGAAGAAAAGAATAAAATTACACATTAACATGTGATGTGACTTACTGGCTGAAAGATTGTGAATAACACAGTTTATAAAGTATCGCAATAGTATCATAGCAGAAAAGAATAAAATCACACATTCACAAGTGATGTACGTGACTTACTCTCTGAAAGATTGTGTGATAACAGTTTAGCACAAAATCACAAGGATTTCATAGGAGAAAAGAATAAAATTACATATTTACATGTGATGTGACTTACTGGCTGAAAAATTGTGAATAACACAGTTTAGTAAAGTATCACAATGGTATCATAGAAGGAAAGAATAAAATTACACATTCACATGTGATGTGACTTACTGGCTGAAAGATTGTGAATAACACAGATTAGTAAAAGTATCACAATGGTATCACAGAAGAAGTGAATAAAATTACACATTCACATGTGATGTGACTTACTAGCTGAAAAATTGTGAATAACACAGTTTAGTAAAGTATCACAGTGGTATCATAGAAGAAAAGAATAAAATCACACATTGACAAGTGACATATATGTACGTGACTTACTCTCTGAAAGATTGTGTGATAATACAGTTTATAAAGGGTCACAATGGTATCATAGAAGAAGTGAATAAAATTACACATTCACATGTGATGTGACTTACTGACTGAAAGATTGTGAATAACACAGGTTAGTAAAGTATCACAATGGTATCATAGAAGTGAATAAAATTACACATTCACATGTGATGTGACTTACTGACTGAAAGATTGTGAATAACACAGTTTAGTAAAGTATCACAATGGTATCATAGAAGTGAATAAAATTACACATTCACATGTGATGTGACTTACTGACTGAAAGATTGTGAATAACACAGGTTAGTAAAGTATCACAATGGTATCATAGAAGAAAAGAATGAAATTACACATTCACATGTGACGTGACTTACTGGCTGAAAGATTGTGAATAACATGGTTTAGTAAAGTATCACAATGGTATCATAGAAGAAAAGAATAAAATTACACATTCACATTTAACGTGACTTACTAGCTGAAAAATTGTGAATAACACAGTTTAGTAAATATCACAATGGTATCATAGAGGAAAAGAATAAAATCACACATTCACAAGTGATGTGACTTACTGACTGAAAGATTGTGAATAACACAGATTAGTAAAGTATCACAATGGTATCATAGAAGGAAAGAATAAAATTACACATTCACATGTGATGTGACTTACTGACTGAAAGATTGTGAATAACACAGATTAGTAAAGTATCACAATGGTATCATAGAAGAAAGAATAAAATTACACATTCACATGTGATGTGACTTACTGACTGAAAGATTGTGAATAACACAGGTTAGTAAAGTATCACAATGGTATCATAGAAGAAAAGAATAAAATTACACATTGACATGTGATGTGACTTACTGACTGAAAGATTGTGAATAACACAGTTTAGTAAAGTATCACGATGGTATCATAGAAGAAAAGAATAAAATTACACATTGACATGTGACTTGACTTACTGGCTGAAAAATTGTGAATAACACAGTTTAGTAAAAGTATCACAAAGGTATCATAGAAGAAAAGAATAAATACCGTATAGCTTGAAATTTTCGTGGGTTGATATTTTCGTGGTTTGCTCCTAGTGGGGCAATTCGTGGTTGACAGTTTAGATAGCCTGTAAGGGGATAGCACTTCAATGATTTGCTGGGTTTAAATTTCGTGGGCAACCCATACCCATGAAAATCACGAAATTTAAATTCCACGAAAATTTCAAGCTATACGGTACATTCACATGTAACTTGACTTACATCCTGAAAGATTGTGAATAACAGTTTAGTAAAGTAAAGGTATCATAGAAGAAAAGAATAAAATTACACATTTACATGTGACTTGACTTACATACTGAAAGATTGTGAATAACACAGTATAGTAAGTATCACAATGGTATCATAGAAGAAAAGAATTAAATTACACATTCACATGTGGCGTGACTTACTCCCTGAAAGATTGTGAATAACACAGTTTAGTAAACAATCACAATGGTATCATAGAAGAAAAGAATAAAATTACACATTGACATGTGACTTGACTTACTGGCTGAAAAATTGTGAATAACACAGTTTAGTAAAAGTATCACAAAGGTATCATAGAAGAAAAGAATAAAATTACACATTCACTTTTGACGTGACTTACTGACTAAAAGATTGT